CAAACAATTTTGTAATATATACAGTGCATAAATTTATTGGTATATCTACCGCTATTGTTAAGTTTGTAATATACCCCGCTTTTAACAATGAAGAAAAGAATTGCATGTCGGTTTCTGTATTATGTATCTGTATGCGAGACCAATAATACCAACTTATGCAGATTTAATGAATAATTGCGCGAGGTACACTTGAAGAGAACAATTGCGTGCCCGTTTTATTCTGCGACGAGTCGATGTCGATTATTATTATTATTACCATCATCATCGTCGTCATCGTCATCATCATCGTCATTATCATCATCATCATTACTATTATTACTATTATTGTTAAACATTACACATACTGTTCAGCTAAAGAAAGCTTTATCGAACATCGAATATTTCCCGCGCTGAAGATGCAAACACTTTTCACGAATATTCATACGGCCACGTTTGGTAAAAGAAAAGGAGAGAGAAAAAAATAATACGCTGCGATCATCAGGAACATTTCTTCCAACGCTGTTTTACTACTCGGTTACTTGTATTCCTTTTTCTTTCCCGCGACGAGCTGTGCCAAAAAAACAAGGAAACATATGATTTTATATATTCCACTCCGAATCGTGTAACTATACTTAACGAGGGGGACGAACACATTGACAAAAGAGAAAAATACAAAAAAGGAAACAAAGGACCGGTGCAACATACGAACGAATTGATTTAGAGAAATTACATCTAAGGTGTGACAAATGTTTAGTGTTTATAAATTCGGTGTACTTGTACATAAATATTGCTGGTTATTATCACTTAAATGTACATACATATACATTTCGATACTTACGTATCGTTGCAGCAATCTACAGAAATAAAACTCATAAAATATAAAAGCTGATCGTAACTGTCGTTGTTCTGTTATTTTCCCTGTTGGCGTAACTGTTTAAATATCTTGTCGATTCCAGTGGGCACGCTTCATTTCAAATTTTTGAAATTGACTTTTTAAAATTGAAATTGAAAGATTGGAAATTTTAGAGAAATTTGGAACGGTTCACGGCATGTTCGAATACTGGGAAATTTGAGTAAGGAAATGATGTATATTTGAAAATATGATTACCCCATCTAGCGGCGGGATTACTGATTATTAAACGGACTTGAGCGTGATAAAAATATATTATCTACCGTGATAACTAGCTTCTGCATTTAGCCGTGAATGGCACTATTAATTTTGTGCTACTTTTTCCCATTGTGCAATGATGCAATTCATTTTTATCAAGAATGCCAAAACCAACAATTAAATAATCAATCAGACAACACTGGAGAATATATTCAATTGTTTAACTTTTATTTTATTTTATTCCTCCATAAGTTCGACAAATGCAAACCGTTATGTATTTACTCATTAAGTAGCACGACGTGTTTAAAAAAATTTACATTTCCCATAATGCACTTTGCAACTTTGTTTGTATTGCAAAAGATTATAATGTTTGTGTGAGCACTGTTATTACTGCAAATGTCAAGGACATTTTTACAGATTAAAGTGCAGAATTGAGAAGATTTTATTACTGACAGAGTAAATCATGAATTTCTATCATTCCCGTGTATACTTCAATATATGGTACTATAGATGGGAATGCTGTTTTTTCGCAGCGTTCCAAAAGATACAAGAGCAAGATGAACAATAGTAACGTGTCGAAGTGTGCAGAAATTATGTATATTTTAAGGACGTGGAAGGAAACGCTGATTTCCTATTGGAAGAGTATCAATCAACGTCTGTGCGGCCAATGGCTAATATCAAATATTTTCCATTGAAATTTTCGTCGATTTATAATCAAATCCATGACTTAAAGTAAAAAGGCAGAAGCAAAATGACGCATTTTCTAATCGTTTCAGAAATTTATACGACCGTTAGGTTTCATGCTACGAGCAGATTTTCAAGGTTTATGGTCTCGTGATATAGCTGGAACCCGGCGGGAATAACGATGCGAGCGCCGCGTCGTTTTATTGGTATAATTTTGTTTCGTATGCTTCATAAACTTCGTATGTTTATTATTCCATAATGGCTTCGATAATGAAATAAAAGTTCTTGATTATCGGTGTTACATGTCGTTCGCATGCGAGGACGTTAGATAGAAAGTCTACCTCGCAGAAGTGCCTTGTCGGAAAACTACGATCCCGTAGCGGCATTGTCCGCCATTTTTGGCGTTTGCACGGCGTTCAACCGAGTTTTCTTTCGTTTACAGAATAAAAACCACGCCTCTGACCACGGGATTCGTATCGTCTTGCGATGTAAGTAATAAAAATCCTTTTAATATCATTCAGCGGCCATTTTCGTGACACTATTGTAACCTTGTCGCCGGGTGTTTTCATGTGTTCGCGTAGGGCACGCAGTCGGAAGGATAGCACGGGTAAAAGCGACTCTGAAGCCACGGATAAAGAGAACAAGAGGGAAAGGGGCAGAGAAAGGGAGAGAAAGAAACGTGCTGCTTCTTCTTCGAGCAGTGGCAGCAGGTAAGATAACAGATGTTTTTTGGATTTGTCTGTAAACAATTAAATTAGAGATTACTGGTATAAGCATCATTCCTGCGACAGTGGTATGTCTAGTAATTGTAGTGCAATCAAACTCTGTTAGCCGTGAATGAAATTATTATATTTCGATCCTTATAGGTAACGTTAAAGACACTAAGGATAAGCTATCAAGAATATTTCCCTCCATTAGTGTTTCTTAATATAGCCAGAATGTATGTACGTGTATACTTATATTGATTGTATTCGATAGTTCTTCAGACAGTAGCTCCGGATCGTCGTCCACAAGCAGTGGAAGTAGTTCAAGATCAAGTTCCAGTTCTAGTACTAGCTCCAGTAGCTCGGGGAGCTCGTCTGGAAGCTCCAGAGACAGGGGGAGAAAACGAAGTCGAAGCAAAAGTGTTGATGCTTCTCGTAGACATGATAATAAAGAAAAAGAAAGGGAGAAAGAAAGAGATAGGGAAAGAGACAGGGACAGAGATAGAGACAGAGAGAAAGATAAGAAGAAAAGCAGTAATTCTGTGATCGATAAACCTAAGCCCAAGGGACGTTCCAGGTAGATACATTGACCTTCTCCTAATCTTAATGCAACTACTCAACATCAAGTATTTCATTTGTAATTCGTCTACTTTACAGATCACCCTCACCGCGTAGAAAACGTAGGGAAAGGTCCCCGATTCCTAGACCAACAAAAATACACATTGGACATCTGACACGTAATGTGACTAAAGAACACATTATGGAAATATTTTCAACGTACGGTCAGATCAAAATGGTTGATTTTGCTATGGACAAGCTTCACCCCAACCAAGGCAGAGGTTTCGCTTATGTAGAATTCGAAACCGCGGATGAAGCAGAGAATGCAATGAAACACATGGATGGCGGTAAGCAAGAAAATATTTCCACAAATTTACTTGTTCCTGGTGAACTTTAATTAAGTATCTTGATGTATGTCTACAGGGCAAATAGATGGCCAGGAAATTACTGCTGCCCCAGTATTATTACCAAAGCCACGTCCGCTACCAATGCGAAGGATGTCGCCTCTAATGGGCAGAAGGGTGCCTCCACGATGGGGTGGCGGTGGCAGAAATACTCCTCCGCGTTATCGGAGACGTTCACCACCCATCAACCGCCGTAGGAGCCCACGACCACCGAGACGCAGGCCAAGAACCCGATCGCGAAGCCCCCCGAATAATCCACGGCATAGACATCGTCGCTACACGAGAT